TGAGTGCGGTCACAGACGCTCGCACACGTGTGCCTGGGTCGTGCGTAAAGACACGCATTGGAGACTGGGAAGTCTGTGAGCCATGCCTGTTCTGACAGACCTGGTGCTGCAGCTGTCCCAGGAGTAGCGGGGCGGGTCCAGTTGTTTCTCCTGAGAATGTCGGGGTGTGGAGTCCCTCCTCCTGCAGCCACCACAGTGCAGTCCTGGGTGGCGTGAGCCCAAGGTCAGGAACTCGGAGCGGAGCCGTGAGCTGGCTCCCCACAGCCTGGCGTGATGCGGCGAGCTGAGCCTGTCTGACCTGGGGCACTGCTGTTTCCATCCCGTGTCTTGCAGGGCAGTCCTGGTGAGGTTAGAAGGATGCAGCCACCCGGTCGTCATGAAAGGCCTGTGCGCGGAATGCGGCCAAGACCTGACCCAGTAGGTACCACGTGCTGGTGTGAGCTCTCTGCCGACATGGGGGGAGTGTGGGCCTTCGGAGCAGGCACTCGTCCTGGCCGGGAGCTTTGGCTGGACGGTGACCCCAGTGGCAGCCTACCCCCTGCCCTCCCACATCCACCCTCTCCCGTGCTCCCAGCCAGCCCTCATGCCAAGCGGCCACTGATGGGCACCCTAGCTGTGTGGCAGCTGCTGCTGTGCCTCCGTGTCTGAGGACCTCTGTTTCTGTGGAGAACGTGCATGCCCAGGGGTGGCCTCCCCCGTCCCCTCTCCTTGCAGGCAGAGGCGGGCAGGGCGAGGATCTGTCCTCGGTCTGCGCCCTGTCGGTTAAAATGACACCCGCACACCCTGCCCCTTGAGGGCAACGTGCCCCCGCATAAGCGAGCGTGGCAGCTGCTCAGGGGCATAGGTGCCGACAGCCTCTCCTTGCCTCCGAAGGTTGCAGAGTAAGAACGGGAAGCAGCAGGTACCACTGTCCACGGCGACCGTGTCGATGGTCCACAGCGTGCCGGAGTTGATGGTGAGCTCTGAGGTGAGTCGTGGCTCTGCAAGGTCAGTGGGTCCGGGACAAGGTCCCATGAGGGCAGAGAACTGCAGAAAGTGCCTGGTCTGCAGCTGTCGCCATGTACGGCCGTCTGCGTGGAGGGCAGTGTCCCCCTGGGGCACAGGCCACCCTCCTGTCTGTCTCACGCCCATGCAGACCATCTGCCTGCACATGCAGGGCCAGTCGGGAACTTTCCCCCAGCAGCTGTGCTGGGTCCCCTCGAGCCACTTTCCAGCAGGAGCAGGTCATGATGGGCACCCAAGCCTAGACGCAGCGCAGTTCAAGCATAGCCAGGCCTGGGGGAGAGCGTGAGAGTGAGCCTCGTGAGATAGGAGGGGATGGACCTAGCCAGCTCCCCCGCCCCCTGGCACGCAGCTCATAGGCAAGGAGGAGACAGGCCCCTCCAGCGGAGCCCCACTGCTCCACCCTCCCCGGCCTTCCCAGCCAGCCGGGGTCCTGGCTGCGCCCTCACCACTGCCTCAGGGCGACCTGGCACGCCCGGCTGCCACTGAGGACAACAGCTCTGGGGTGAAAAAGCAGACACCGTGCTGAGGCTTGGGAACAGCCTACGTGGAGACCCCTCAGGTCTGCCTCTGGGCCTGGCCACCCCGTGCCCAGAATCCTGTGAGGCCCCACTGGTCACAGGCCCCTGGCCTCTGTCTCCGCAGCAGGGTCCCCAGTTGAACAGGTGCCAAGGGAGCCAGCGACCCCCCCACTTCCCCACCGGGCAGGATGGAGTGTTCGACAGTTAACGTAGACGTGAGGCAGTTTCTTACGGCGCAGCTGGTGCTATGGAGCTGTGTGTGTTTATGGAAGTGGAACATTTTTAGTGTTAGAATCTTATTTATTTAGAGTTTGTTTTGTTTTTTTGCTATAGAGCTTGTGTGCTCACTGGAGAGAGTGAGAGGAGGGAAATGAGAAATCACCCTCGGGGGAGATGGCCACGTGCAGTCCCTTCTCCACTCTCCTCTCGGGGCTTTGGGCACACACGTGTACGCGTGCGCCCACGACGCCAGGTCTGCAGCGTAAACCATGCAGGTGTCCGTGTGGGACCCATCGCCTTCAGCACGCCACCTGCTGCCCCAGTGTCATGCTGCCATTAGGTCTGTGCTTTCAAAGGACGAGTGCCGGCTTTGCTCTGTTTCTCGTGGGGAGAGTCAGGTGCCAGGAACGTGGTCTGGTTTTTCCGAATTAGCGAACATTAATCAAATGTAAGGTGCCGAGACAGACAGACGGAGCTGGGACACTCGGGCATAAAGAGAAGAGGACTTGCCCCCTGCCCTCCCAGAGGCCCCATCAGCCTCCGCGTCTCCCTCCCAGGAATAGCAGGTGCTCAGACGTGCTCCCATCTGACTTGGTCAGAACCGGAGTCTGTTAGGACTGAGCACTGGTTGGTGACAGTCGGGATGCACGCTTGGTGCAAGTGTGGCCAGGCCCCTTCTCAGGGCAGTCGGAGTTAGGCCTGCCTGGGTGGCCCTGTGCCCCACGCCAGAGCCAGAGCAGCCAGGAGAGCCTGGGCCGGCGAAGGCTCGGCCTGCTGCCTCAGCCCAGGTCCTGGGGCATCCCTCCTTCCTCCAGCTAACCTGCCTTCACCTACGCTGCACGCTGTTACCGAGCTGCTCCAAGCGCTCGGCCTGTGGCCCTCCTGGCCATGCTGTGGCTGCGTGTGGATTGGAGTCTCCAGTGGGCAGCCTTGAGCAGGAGTGGAGTGGAGTGGTGCCCACACTGGTCTTCGAGGCCATGTCCTGGGTAAAACCAAGCATACTCGCGGTGTCGTTCTTCATGACCACAGCAAGCAGAGGAGCTGGGGCGGGAGGACCAGCAGCGACTGCATCGGAACCGGAAGCTCGTCCTCATGGTCGACCTGGACCAGACCCTGATCCACACGACGGAGCAGCACTGCGCACAGATGTCCAATAGGGTGAGCCTCGCCTGGTGCCCTGGCCGTCATCTGGAGCGGTCTCGTTCCTGTCGCCCCCGTAGGCCAGCCTGGGTTCGGCACAGAGCAGCTAGCACAGGCTGCATCTGGGCGGCCCACCGGGCAGCCGTCGCTGTGTCAGGGCCCGTCATCGGTAGCGTGTGGGCCCTTTGAGTTCCAGTGTGCACTCATGGGCAGCAGGATTCGACACGTGAGGACAGTGGTGTGGCCAGCCCAGCAGCAATGGCCCCTGAGCCCCAGAAAACCTGGACTGGTCTCCTGCCGCGGGGCCTCTGTCCTGTGTGCGAGAGTGTTCTGTGTTCCAGCCGGTAGGTGGAGCCAGAGAGGTCGGATCCTGGACCTGCAGCTCCGCCAGTGCGAGCCTGGCCTCGCCATGCAGCGCTGTCGGCTGTTGAGCATGTGACCCAGGTGTGCTAGCGTGAGGGCTCGGGCTTTGGCATGCTCGGAGCTCTCATTATTCCCACTGACCCCTTGCACGTGCGAAGGGGCCAGCAGAGCAGGAGTGTTGGGTGGGCAGCCAGCCTTGTTCAGACAGGTCTGCACCCCAGAAGAGTGCTGGGGGTCTGCACAGGCCCAGTGTCCCTCACTGAACTGCCAGGGGTCAGCAGTATCACAGGGCGTTTGGGGACAGAAACACGTAATTGAAGTTCTGTGAGAAACTGCATCTGGTGATACAAGGGTGGCTCAGTACACGGGTCAGGCCATTCAGGGGACGCTGGGTGGTCTATGCGGGTCCCTCGTGCGGGCTGAATTGCAGTGCGAGGAGCCAGCAGGCGGCGTAGTGTTTAAGGTGCTGAACTCCCACATGGCCAACTGCGGTTCAAGTCCCGGACCTGGCGGCTTGAAACTCATGCCGGGTATATGTGCGTGTGTGCCCAGAGTCCCAGGAGGAGCATGGAGGAGATGGGATTGCAGCATGGCCGTCCCCCTGGAGAGTGGTCTGTCTCCTTCTCTCCATCTTTCTCCAGTGGGTGCATATGCCCTCTAGCAAAAAAACCTCTCTTTAAACAAACAAAAAAGAGTAGGAGACTGGTGGCGACGAATGGGTCTCGCGTCAGAGCTCAGTCCTGCCCCAGTTTACTTGCAGTTGCTATGCCACCGTGGGTGCCCAGCATCTCTTGTCGGAGGGGACGTTTGCTGTGGCCCAGGCTTCTCAGCATCAGGGGTCTCACTGACACCCACTGCTCTGCTGGAGCAGCATCCACGCGGACGCCCCGCTGCCGCTGTGGCCCTCTCTGGGTTTATAGTGTCTTTGAAGTTGGGCCTTTCAAGTCAGTTTCACAAGGCAGACTGAACTGGCTATTATGCACCTGTCGTTCAGGTGCAGGCGGGCTGCAGGGCAGTGTCCTGTCCACACACATGGCCTGGGCGAAGCCTCCACTCCATGTCGGCAGTGGAGCCTGCAGCAGGGCCTTCCGGTTCCGGGCCGCCCTGCAGGAGGGCTCCGAGGCTCAGGTGCTGCCCCTGCCCGCTGAGGCCAGGGCTCCTCATGGGGTCGACCTGTGTCTTGAGGAAGCTTGTTCTGCAGCGACTGGATGCTTAGCTATGAGGAGGGTGATGGTAAGAAATCTCACGTCTGAGTGTTTAGCAGTCGTCCGCGTCACCGTGAGGGCTGTGACTGATTGAGGGCTAGGAACAGTCTGACTGGCCTGCTTACCTTTTCTGTGTGTTGCTCCTGCTATAGGGTATGCACTCAGGGAAAGTGAGAAGTCATGCCCTGGGGCGGTGGCCACACCACAGTCCCTGCTCCAGTCTCCTCTCAGGTTTCTAGGTGTGCACACCCTGTGCGGTTTGGGGACTGACTCTGAGTCTGCCACATGAGATTCCCCCTGAGTCTCCACCCTAGCTTTTTTTTTTTTTTTTTTTTTTAAGGCAAGGATGATTCTCCTGCCTCGGCCTCACAGCTGAGACTTGAGGGTGCTGTCATTGCACTAGACTTGTTTTTCTAATTATTATTATAGTTATTTTAGGTTTTTGCCATAGGGCACGTGCACTTACCACAGAGACAGAGAGAGGGAAAGTGAGAATCTACTCCCTGGCAGTAGCCACGCATGCACACAGCCTGGCACGGCTTTCAAGCCTCTGGGTCTAGGACTGGAACCGTGATTGGCTGTGTGGGAGTCCAGCACCCTTACCAGTGTGCTACTCTGCGGCCCAGGCCAGTCTCGAGCTAGCCCAACTCCTGCGTCTGCCTCCGAGTCACTGGGACTAGAGTCACCCATTGCCCAGGCTTCAGACTGGACCAGAAGCAAACCCAGGCCTCCCGGGGCGTGGGCTCGGCCTGCAGAGCCCTGCCCTTGGAGCGTGCCGGTGCCGTGGCAGGCCAAGGGCAGACGCTCTCCTGAGACAAATGATTAGCAGTGAAGGTCGGACGCCGCAGCCCACGGGAGCCTCACACTGCGGTGCTGCGTGGCCACTGGCTGGGTCACCTGCTGTCCCTAGTTGTGGGGCTGGGTCGACCTCAGCAGCCCCGTTGTGCTCTGTTGGTCAGTAAGGCCTTGTCTGGACCGTGCAGGGGGGAGCCGAGGACCCAGCCCTGTCTGGTCTCTCATCAGCCACGGGAGCGCTATAGGTGCAGCCCGTGGGGCTCCATGCTGGGCCACGTGAGTGAGTGGGGACCTTTACCCGGTACCAGTCAAGAAGGCGTGAGGCCCACCGATGTCCTTCCGAAGTTCGGAAAGCCCCAGTCACCCGGGCAGCTGTCGTTCGGCCGCAGGGTCACGGGTAGTTAGGGACCCAGGGCGGCCATACGTGTTGAAGGGCAGTTCCACGCATGGCAGTCAGTGGGGATCTCATCACACGCAGTCCCGGGTGGTTTCTTTCGCTGTCCGGCGTGCAGTTGTCACAGTAGTTATCGGAGGCAGTTGTGGGTGATCTCTGTTGTGCAGGGATGGCCGTCGTAGTTGTGGAACAGTCATGGAGGAAAGTCCCTGGGTCGCTAGGGGCAACCATTGGGGCCAGCTCCCAGGAGGCGTATGGGTAGTTGGCGTGCCGCGCCGACAGCTACGCACCACTCTCCCCACGGCGCAGGGCACGGCACGCCCACGCAGCCGGTGACCCCGGGGCCTTGTCTGACAGTCTTGCTTTTCCAGGGCATCTTCCACTTCCAGCTGGGCCGCGGCGAGCCGATGCTGCACACCCGCCTGCGCCCGCACTGCAAGGACTTCCTGGAGAAGGTCGCCAAGCTGTACGAGCTGCACGTCTTCACCTTTGGCAGCCGGCTGTACGCACACACCATCGCGGGTGAGTCCGCGCCCTGGCTGGTGCCCTGGCGACGGCAGCTTCGCTCAACTCCGCCCTAAAAGTTGAGAGGAGGAGAGAAACTCGCTGGGACTCCATCAAGTTGCTGAGACGCACTGACTTCGCCTCGTGGCTGAGGGTGGCTGCGGGTGGCTGCCCAGCTGCATGGGGGCTGTGCGGGAACCAGTCCAGGCCACAGACGGGATTAATAGGACCTTTATACGTAAGCGTGCTTTTTAAAAACACCTTGGTAGCAGGCTCACCCTGGCCTGGGAGCTGCTCTGCCCTGTGTGTGCGGTTGTACCTGCTGTTGCAGTGGGTCTCCCGCAGTCGGCGTGAGCAGACCGATGAGCTGGCACGGACGTCTGCCCTGCGCCTTGTGCAGCCCGAGTCTCTGTTCTGGCCGCGTCTTCCGTATGTGCACGGGGTCCCCTCCGGCTGGTCTCAGCCGGGGACTGAGTGTAGGAGCAGGGCTGGACTTGGGGACCTCTAGGCCCCGGGGGACGCAGATCAGCATCGCGGGATAGCCACCCCTGGCCACACGGAGCAGGGGACGACGGTCTCTGCAGATTGGCCTCAGCCTCTGGCTGTCGGTGCGTGAATCAGTCTCAGGTCTCCCTTAACCTTGAGAGAGCGTGTGAGTACAGGAGCCGAGCCCGCATGCCTGAGTGTGAGGTGGCTGCCATGTGGAAGGCCATGGTACACAGTGGGAACCAACACACTTACGTGACACGTGGCAACCTGCTCGGCCCACAGCTCAGGAGCTGCTGCTGTGGTCTGCACGCACATGCCCCGCACCTGCACCTTCTGCCACCTCACAAGCCGAGGGTGGTGGAAGGCGGGCCTCTGGGACATGCTTGGTCCACAGAGCTCTGACCCGCTGAGCAGGGCTCGTGTCTCGGAAACCGCAGAGAGCTGCCTCACCCCTGCCGTGCGAGGCGGTGCACACGGATACAGCTGCTTGTCAGGAGCGGCCTCGAGGAGCCAGGGTTGAGGGCCAGACTCTTGGAAGGCTGAGGTGTGTAGACTGTGAGCGTGTGGCCAGTGTCGGCTTCACGGTGAGGCCCCGTCTGGAAGGGCCAGGCCTGGGGGTGCACAGCTGTGGTCTGGACCCCTCCGGGACTGAGGCGGAGCGAGAGCGGCTCAGCACAGGAGGCCACACAGCACCGCAGTGGGGGTCATGCAGGCTCCGCGGCCAGTTGTCACAGCCACCGCCGACTGATGCCCCAGCATGGTCAGCGCAGCTCCCCGGTCCTATTGTGGCGTTCCCGTGTCACACCAGTGTGTCCCGTACCAGACACAAGCAGGTCCTTTTCCCTTCGGATCGTACCTGTGGTGAGGCCCTAGAGCCAATGCTGACAGCTCTGTGGTCTCTGGGCTCGGCAGTGTGGCGGCGTCCTACCTCGGGCGGCTCGGATTGGGCAAAGGTTTCTGCCTCCACTCCATGGGTCCACGCTGGCTTGCCAGGGGTCCTTTCCTTCCCAGTCCTGTCCTGCATTTATGTAGTGGCCATGCACACGTGTCTTCCTGGGTGTTTTGTGACCCTCATTGGCTTTGTAAACTGCCCTAGAGGACGGTCACTGTGCGTGTCCGGAGGGGTGCTGCCCCACGTGTCGGGTGGGGAGGGGTCACTGCGCGTGTCAGGGAGCATCCTGTTGCCTCAGCGGCTGGGCGTGCAGACCCCAGAGAGGGTGAGCGTGTGGGAACTCAGGGTTGTCTGTGTCCCAGACTGGAGAAAGCCGGGGTTGAGAGCAGAGGAGCAAGCCTAGGGTGCAGCAGGCCTGTCCCATCACTCATGACGCTGACATGTGGAGTGTCATGCTGCAGCCCGATCCCACAGGCTTTGGTCGAAGGAAGGGAATGTCGTGTCTGGCTGAGGCCGAGGGCTGGCGGGAGCGTGCCCAGCATTGCAGATTCAGTGGAGCGCTCGCATCAGCGTAAGGGGCCACCCTGCATGCTCCAGGGATCCTCTGTGGGACGCTCGGCCCCAGCTGACCCCGAAAGCGAGTCCTACTGCAGGGAGAGCTGCTCGGGCGTGGAGCACCGGCTTCAGCTGGTGCCTCATCTCCCCCTGCATTTGTTCTTTGAGAGTTCATTCTCCAGCGTGTCAGAGCATGCTGGCCCAGACCAAACACCGCAGGGAACTGCAGGCCGCCGCCTGCCAAGGCCAGTGTAGAAACCCAGCAGGACGCTGCACACACCAGCGACACGGAGCAGGGCTGGCGGGGCTGGCCGCAGCTCAGGACCCTCCGTGCACCCCCTTCCGGCCATGGCTACCGGGCGAGCATCCCTTCCCAACCCGAGCTCCCCTCGGAGCCCTGGCCGCTTAGAGAAGAAACAGAGGGCGGATGCCGCCAGGACTGTGAGACGGGTCTGCCCCACACACCCGAGGGCCCTGAGTTCACCCTCCACCTCACCGACCCACGTTAGGCCTGGCACTGCACCCGTGTGCTCTGTGGCTATCCTCACAGAGCTGGCTTCAGAGCCCAGACCTCCCCATGAGGGCGGGCCCTGGTGCTGCCATGTGCAGACCGGTCACCAGGCCTTGAGCGAATCAGAGGGTGTGACCTGGGGGGCCTGCGGGGCCTGAAGCAGCCATACACACAGCTGTAGCATCTCATAGCCAGGACTCCACGAATGCCCGGGTCATTGTGACTGTTCACAGACGAGGCCGAGACTCGGCCATGACTGACACCCCAAGGTGGCGGCCACACATCCTCGCTGAGCCGTGTTCCGTGTTCGGGAGTCGCTGTCCTCAGAACACATGCCTCGGGTGTGGCGGGGCAGGTGTCAGGAGTTGGGGGTGCCTTTTGTCTTACTGCAGAGGCTGAAACAGCTCCACGAGGGGTTTCCAGTGAGCCACCAGCTGGCCCTGTGTCCATGTAGAACTTACGTCCTTGGCGGGGTGAAGGCAGTGCAGCTCGCTCCTCCTGTAAGCGGCGTTTTTGTTCATGAAACACTAACCAGGCAGTACTTCCGGAGTGGAACCTTTGATCCGGAGCGGCGGAAGGAGGAGGACGTGCACAGGTGAGAGACCCAGGCATGAGGACAGCCCTGAGGTCTCTGCCTGTCCTGTCCTGTTCCCGGCCCCGTCTGCAGTGTGGATGTGTGTGGTTTGTCTTCGAGAGATTTTGCTGCCAGACATGTGGCTTGTCCAGAGACACAGAGACAGACAGACAGAGAGAGATCACAGCCCGGGGCGATGGCCACACCACAGCTCCTTTCTCTAGCCTCCTGGGACTTAGGTGTGTACACACGTGCCCAGCGTGAGTTTCCAGCCACCGGGCCTGGGGCTCAGACCACTCTCAGCCACGTGGGCATCCAGCACCACGACCGCCACCCTCCTGCTGGCCCTGTAAACATATTTTTGTTTTCAAACGAGACTAGCATGGGGCAGGCGTCCTGCATTGTGTCGCTCGCCACGTGTGAACAGGTGCATTGACAGAGCCGCCACCTCTGCTCTGCATGCTGCCCCGGCGAGGAATGGGAGGTGCCTCATTCTTGGTGTGCCAGGCTTGTCTGCATCCACCCACCCGCGTCCCTGCAGGACTACCCCACCTCCCTGCCCACCTGCGTCCCTGCAGGACTCCCCCATCTCCCTGCCCACCCGTGTCTGTGTTGGGACTCGCCCATGTGTGAGCCGGGCTCTGAGCTTCCATTCTTGGGAGTTGGTGCCGGTGCTGCTGCAGGTTGAGTGGCCTCCATTGATGGGGCTGTTGTGACCATGGGTGGCTATGTGGAGGGTCACACTGCAGTGGTTTGAAATAACCCAGTTGTGGCTTGAGCCGCGGGTCTGAAGGCCGCGGCCACGGTCACGTGTGGCGTGCCATGTGAGATTCTCAAGGTCCTGGGTGCCTGCCAGCTCCGGCTCACCACCTGGAGGCTGACCTGAGGAAGTAGGCGTGTCAGGGCCAGGGTGCAGGGCCTCGGATCTGCCCAGGAGGAGACCCCACGCCACTGTGTACACTGCGTGACAGAGCCACGTCACAGACACGAGCATGTCCTGTTTTCTTTCTAAAGGCTTTTTAGACCCTGAGAAGAAGCTTTTTTCTCACCGAATATTATCAAGAGATGAATGCATCGACCCCTTCTCTAAGACAGGGAACCTCAGGTATGTATCGGGAGCTCAGTGAGCAGCTCAGACACGCGCTTCCCGTATGTAAACTGCTTTGCGCATCCGAGAGAGTGGCTAGGGCATCAGTCTCCCCTGCCGCTGTCTGGTGCGGCCCCCGTTCTCCAGAACTCCCTGTCCTCAGCGCCTCGCGCAGTGCCCAGGCCGGCGCGGGCCT